GTGATGTGGGAGTGTCATATATCAATCTGTTGATTTCATTGGTTAATTAAATAAAGAAACTGCTTGCCCTGATAGGTTAAAACAGGTGGGAGGAGTAAACAGGAGGAAGAGGAAGTGAGGTAACACTCCTCAGACAGATGCAAGATAGCTCTGCTCTCAGAGACACACGCGATGAAGCTCCGACTCAGGATGGACGTAGGCTAGAATCTTCCAGGTAAGCGCACCTTGGGGTGCTTACACACATTATTAGAAATGGGCTAGTCCAGGTGCGAGAGTTAGCCGAGAAGAGGCTAGATGTAATGGGCAAGCAGTGTTTAAAAGAATACAATTTGTGTGTTGTTATTTCGGGCATGAGCTAGCAGGCGGCCGGGCTGGAGTGCTGGGGATGCAGCCCCGCCGCTCCTATTTCAACATCTGCCTATAGCCTAATATGGATATATGCTTGTAAGTCTTTATTAGACACCATTAAAATATGCGAATAACACTCTTAATTTAGCCATAAAGGACAAACTCTTAATAATGTTCAATTAAGGGAAGATCTGGAGCCCAGGTCCTCTTATAGATAATGTAATGAGTTGGAAATGCTTCTCTATCATAAAAAGGACTAACCAGAAATAAAACTATAACAATTTTCATTGTCTCACATAGTTGTTTTATAAAGGTATATATAAAATTCTCTTATATATAAATATATAGTAAGTTCTTAAATTCTAAATAACCATAATCACTATACACACACACATACACACACACAAAATTTTAATTACTATTAGGACTTAATAGTAATTCCTTAAGATACTTACCTCTGTAGTTTTTATAGAAAATGCAATTGTTGGCACAGGTATCAGGATGAGCATCCCAAAAATCAGGACCACAACAACATAGTGGAGGTAAAGTGATATTATACAGCTTCATTTTCTCCTGGACCTGGGCTCGCAAAGCTTCTACATATCTATAAAAGTACAGTGTGGTTAGGTCAATCAACGAGCATAAATCCTGATTTTATACCGCTTTTCACTGTTCTGTACCCCGAGTCTCCCTATGTAGTAGGAAATAGCACTAGGACAACACAGTGCTAGTCTCAAGATGTACTAGCCAATCAAACAGCGATGGAGTATCCACCCTAAATGAGGAAAAGTATGAGAAGACAAACCAAAAGTGTCTGTCTTTCTCTCTCTTTGGTTTTGAAACAGGGTTTCTGTATGTAGCCCTGGCTGTCCTGGAACTTGCTCTGTACACAAGGCTAACCTCTAACTCAGAGATCCTCTTGTTTCTGCCTCCTGAGTGCTGGGATTAAAGATGTGCACCACCACTGCCTAGCTACACCAAGTCTCCTAAGGAATGTGAGAAAGCCTACCTTCTGTCTCTTCTAGAGCCAGAATTTCACACAGAATGTTTAAATTCACCTTACATATTCTTTTTCTCTCTGGTGATGTTTTTCTCTGGCTCCTTTCATTCCTTCAAGCTGTAGCTGGGCTAAGACATCACTTATCTTCTGCTCTGAACAAGGCTCTTCACGGCAGTGCGCTCTCAGGAGCCTCTGCTCTTCAGCATGGCGCTGCTGCTCTTTCCTTCTCTTAATTCTGAAAATGAAACAAAACATACTTAGGAATTTTTAAAAGCTGTTATTTAAAGTTAGCTTCCTTATACAAATAACTCAAGAAATTCCCTCAAAAAAGGACAACACAAAATCAATTTAGCAACCCAAGAACATTTATCTATCTACCTATCTACCTATCTCTCTATCTATCTATCTATCTATCTATCTATCTATCTATCTATCTATCTATCTATCTATCTATCGACAGTTTCTCTGTATAGCTCTGGCTGTCCTTGAACTCACAGAGATCCACCTGCCTCTGCCTCCCTAGTGCTAGGATTAAAGACGTGCCCTCCCCGCAAGAGCATTTTAAAAAGTGTTTGCGCTGGCTGATCTGAGTTTATCTATGTATGTTGGGGTTTTGCTTGCATATATGTCTGTGTGAGAACTGCCACATCCTCTGGAACTGAAGTTACAGACAGCTGTGAACTGTCATGTGGGAGCTGAGAATTGAATTGGGGTCCTTTGGAAGAAAGGCCAGAATGGCCAGTGCTCTTAACCACTGAGCCATTCTCCATGCCGGAGTTTATCTTCTAATCTATATAAAATGCTTTTCAAAGGGAAACGAGAAATTGCCAGTAAGACATTTTCTGTTAGAATTCCAGCACAAGAACAGGCTCAGGTTAAAACTGGTAGGCAGGACATTTGCCAATACCAAAATGCTTTAACAGGTACCAGATTTGTCCTCACAACAAAGAAACTTAAAAGGCAAATACAATAAAATGAAATAAACAACAGCTTTCATGACACTAATATCAACCACAAAACCACAGCTGTCCCTAGAAGATGACAAACAAAAAAGCAATTCCAATTACTGCCAACCTTCAAATATTGCTAACCTAGGCAATAGCACAGGGGGAGGAGAATTCAAATGGAACCTGGTAGATTTGAGTAAAACACATTTGTAATAGCAATACATTTACCAACCAAACGGTAAAAAATTAAACACACTGTTAAATATTGTCTTGGGGTTTCTACTGTGATAAACACCATAACCAAAAGCAAGTTGGGGGAGGAAAGGGTCTGTTTTGCATCTTATAACTCGGAAGTCACAGTCCATCAGTGAGGGCAGTAACTCAAGGCAGGAACTAGTGGCAGAGATAGGAGCAGAAGCCATGGAGGAAGGCTAATTATTGGCTTTCGTCTCCTGGCTTGCTCAGACTGCTCTCTTAAATAATTTAGGCCCAACTGTCCAAAGTTAGCAGCACCTACAGTGAGGTGGGCCCTCCCACATTCATCACTCATCAAGAAAATATGCCAAAGACTTACTTACAGGCTAACCTTACAGAGGTATTTTCTCAATTAGATTCCCTTTACCAAGATGTGTCTAAGTTTGTGTTACACTGAAAAAAAAAAAAAAAAAAAAAAAAAAAAAAAAAAAAAAAAAAAA